GGCGACGGTCAGCGAGGTCCCGGTCTCGTTGCAGCCGAAGCAGCTCCCCGAGAAGTGGCAGCACGACCTGTTCGACAGCGGCTTCGGGGCGGGGGCCGGAGTGGAGACTGGCGGGAAGCTGCTCGTCTCGAACCTGGACTTCGGCGTCTCGGATGCGGACATCCAGGTAGCGGCCCCGCTGGGTGCGCGGGGGGCGATCGCGGGGCGGGTTTAATTCATAGCGTCGGGGTCGGGCGTGCCGGGCGCCCGCGGGAGCTCCGCGGGTCCCGCTGCCCTTCCGTGCCCGGGGTGGGAGAGCCCCGAGTGAATTAGCTCGGCGTTGGCGATGGTGTTTGCGCCGCGAGTGTTGGTCCTGCGTGGCTCTGGTGAGCCGGAGGGGGCTGTGGTTCAGAAAAGCCGCCCTTTCCCACAGAGTGGCAGCTAATTGCCTTTAAGTGGCTCTGCCACAGCACACGTGAGGAAAAGTGCTGCCCAGGGGCTGGAACCAGCTGCGGCTGGAGAATTTAGCGCAAATCGCGTAACCTCTTTAAGGTCTGTGTAACTGCAGAAGTTTCGTACCCGCACTGCACGTACACCTGCGTGCTCTGTTTTTGTGGGACCTGTTTGCACAGCTTTGTTAAAGTCACGTTCTGCTGAGTGTCGAGGTGTTCCTGTGGACACGTCCTTCGCTGTAACTGGGAAGGCTTATCTATGAGGGAGAGCGTGCTCCCCTGCATGGCAGCGTCTATGGTACCTGGTGCGTTAAATCTTCTATCTGAGTTACCGTTCAGGATCATATCCCTTGTTTTGGTTGTGCTTTTGGGTAAGAACCTGCAGGATTCTTTCAGTCAGGCGTACAGTGTGATCTGTCCCTGCGGCTGTGCGGGTTGGAGGGCTTGAGGCATGGTGCTCCTGCCCAGCTGTGGAGGCTCCGTCATGAGCGGGTTGTGCAGAAATAAACATTTGCAAATAGCAGGTGCATCCCTGCTGGAGGCTCGGCTGGCTCAGTCGCGCTGCAAAGCGATTCCTTTTACATTGGCTTCTGGTCCTCGCGTCCTCACCAAGGAAAAACAAACAACTACTTTTATGTTTTCTTCATTGGTTTAATTCATTGCAGTTACGCCACGTGCCAATCTGGCTGTGCCTGGGGAGCTGGAAGCGAGCTTTTTCAGGTCACCTAGTTACTGGGTAATGCACTGAAAACCACCTCTTTTCCTCGTGTTAGTTCAGATTTGGTTTAAATAAGTTTCTTCTTTGTTGTAGTCAGGCCCCGATGTGTAAAATGTGGCTCTGTGAAGTCACCTCAGTTTGGCCAGCTCCTGTGCTTCCTGTGGCGCAGGATCGTGGGGATTCACCTTTTCCGCTGCTGGCTTGGGCTGAGGCGTGGACGAACGTCCACCTATGGTTTATTTAGCAGCAAAGCTGACTTAACGGCTTTGCACCTGTTTTGTTGCTACCCATCCCATTATTTAGCGCTGCCTCAGATGTGGTGATTGCTTTCTTTGTTTCTATGCTGATTGCGTCATTAATGTGGTACAGTGCAGCTCGGAGGTGTATGGGCTGGAAGGAGCCTCCAACGCGTGCTGCTCTCGGAGGCGTTGCTCCCCAAGTGAGCGGTCGCTGCTGCTTGGGAGGAACCTGTGTTCTCTGCAGTGCAAAGAGAAGCTGGCTCTGGAGAAGGGGCTGAGCACAGCCTCGCCTGTGGTGCGCCCTGCTCCAGAAAGCTTCTATCGAGTGCCGTGTAATGTTCACCTCCGGTGAATGAGTACAAGGGAGGAGCTGGCCTGCAGCTCTGCCTGGAGTGCTGCTTGCTTGGAAGCGGAAGAACACGTATAGTGCCCCGTCAGATGCTTGGGCAGTAACTCACGGGGACAGCAGCATGGCAGTTGGGCCTTGCAGCAGGTACTGTAGCAGGTGGCCTGTCCCTTGGGGCACCTGGCAGCTCTGGGGTAGATGTTGAACTTTTAAGGCATGGGCTGTAGCAGAAACTCACAAAGGCAAGCTCTCCTTGTTGACTTCCTAAGTGTAGCATCTGTAAAACAAAATGGGTGGCTTCGTTGCTGCCTCTTCATTTCCATCCTTCGTGACTGTGAATTACATGCTTCAGTACAGGGCTTTTCCTCATCTCAGTTTTTGGGGTACAATCCTAATGGGCCGTGTTTTTAAATTGCACCTGGTCTAGTAAAGATTTAAGGAGTTAAAAAAAAAAAAAAATCCGGCACAATGAAACTGTGACCATCTTATGAATCCCTGTGTTCATACAGGGTATTCTTCCTCTGTGAAATGGATTAGGTTCTGGATTATTTTTAAGTAGTCATCCCATTGACTCAGCCTCAACAAAAACACCTGCAATTTCCCTGGGAAAAGAAACAGGTTGGCATTCCTTGGGTCCACTTCTCTGGCTGTAAATGTGCACCCTGCAAGTGGTGAATATGAAGTCCTGCTTGTTTTTGCCACCTGTGGCAACTTTCTGAAGTCCTTCTGATGGGCTTGTGCTCCCCTCTTTCATCAGTGTTTTGTCCAAGTTGTCAGTGATGTTCTGAAAAGCGCCTGCAATTGCTGAGAGCAGTTGTGTATGGGGAACTGTGGTGCCGTCTCTTGGCTGTGTGGTGTTTGCAGCGCTGTTGGACATGTACGCTCTTCTCCCCTTTTTTTTCTCAGGAGCTCTTTGCAGAGTTTGGGACCTTGAAGAAGGCAGCCGTGCACTATGACAGATCTGGCCGCAGTCTAGGGACAGCAGATGTGCATTTCGAAAGGAAGGCAGATGCTCTGAAAGCGATGAAGCAGTACAATGGAGTCCCCTTGGATGGTGAGTCTGCGTGGCCGTCTCCATAGTGCGTTTCGCTGGCTGGAGCAGCCCGCGCGCCCGTGTCCTGCACACAGGCTCACGGGCTGCTCTTCCTCCAGGACGCCCCATGAACATTCAGCTGGTCACGTCACAGATCGACACACAGAGGAGACCAGCACAGAGGTGAGATGCTGTACGGCCACGGGAGTCGCTCTGCCCGGTCAGCGCGGGGTGGGAACGTGCCTGGCTCCTGTCTGTGTAGGAAGTGTGGATCCGTCTCCTGTTTGGCAAACTTCTGCGTGCCTGTTTGGGTTAACCGGAATGCACTAAAACAGTTGCTCTTTAAAAATCACAGTGTAAACAGAGGTGGCATGACCAGAAACCGTGGTGGTTCAGGAGGATTTGGTGGTGGAGGAGGCAACAGGCGAGGTACTCGTGGTGGGAACAGAGGGAGAGGCAGAGGAGCTGGGAGAACTTCCAAACAGCAGCTCTCCGCAGAAGAACTAGATGCACAGCTGGATGCTTACAATGCCAGGGTAAGTGCTGCTCAGGCGCTGTCCACAGGTTCCCCACGGCATCTCGTTCTGGGAAACATTGGCAGCCCAGAGCTGGCAGGAAACAGAAAGTGTTTTCCGGGTCACTGGATTAAAGCGTTCTCCCTCTAAAGCCGAGCAGCGCCTTGGTCCGGTAGTTGGCTTTACTTTCCAGAACGCTTTGCCGACTGCTGTTACTGGTTGCCAAGAAACAACCCCTTGTCCAGCTCCGTGGCTCGCTGGGGCCAGTGTGGGGCAGCCTCCTGCACAGCTGGAACAGCTGTGACGAGCAGTACCTGTGTAACAAAACCCACAGAGAATGGGCTGGAAAAAGGAAAAACAAAAAGGAAAAAAAATGTGTGAAATAACTACATGGGATGCTGATGGAGGAAGGGTTGGCGATGCTGATGGCCGATACGAGTCTGTAACACACAGAGCCATGCACATTGTTTGCTGCCTTCAGAACTAGCTCAGATGTCTCTGTGCTGCAGCCGGGTTAACATCTCAGTAGAGAACTGAGCTCACATGTGTACATGAGTCAGTGTTGTAGGAGCGGGATAAAATTGAGGCGAGAGTGTGGAAGAAGTGGGATGAGCAGAATTCCAGAAAAAATTGTCTGGTGTTTTAGAGCAGCCTTCTCTGGCTTCGGGGATGCGTAAATAGTGTTATTTTGCAAGGACTTGGCTGGGGGCGGGGGAGCGCAGCAGGGCAGTTGGCCGTCGTGCCTCAGGGCGCCGCGGTGGCTCAGCTGGGCCCCGGCACTGCCGGATGCTCCCAGGCCAGCGCCTGAACGGGCCGGGGCTGGAACCTGCCATCCCCATCCGGCAGCGCCGGGGCCTTGCGGTGGTTTGCCGGGGCCGGAGTGCCTCCGCAGGGGTGGGCAGGCAGGGTGCCACGGGGCGCGCGGTGACGGCTCCTCTCCTCTCTTCCAGATGGACACCAGCTAAAGCGGTGGGCGGCGGGCACAGGGAAGGACTCCGATCTCGCTCCACGCTCCCCGGCGGGGGCTGCGGCCGTGGCTACTAATACCGAGGATGGGATTTGTTTTACTTTTACGTTCTGGGATAGGTTTTAAACTCCTGTAAAGGTTTTTTTTAATTCTGAAGCAGACCTGTTTTGTACCGAGTTATTTTTGGGATAAATTTTACTGGTTGCCTGTTGGGCCGAGGTGGCTTTTTCACCTTTGCCGTAATAAAATAGAACCGTGTCTAGAGCTGTGGACGCCTGCCCGCCGCGCCGTGCCTGGCCCCGCCCCGCCCCGCCC